CTCCTGCCTTAGCCACCCAAGCGCTGGGATTGCAGGCATGTGCCACCAAGCCTGGCTTTCAGTTATTCCTTTAAAAACTACAGTGGTAAATTATAGAAGGTAGATATTTCATGTACCATGTGACAGCTTTGTGAATGTGTGTGTGTGTGCACGTACACTTGTGTGTTGTTGTTGTTGTGAATCAAACCCAGGACTTTGCTCCTGCCAGGCAAGAGCTCAACCACTGAACTATATACCCAACCAACCTTGTTTCTTTTTTGCTATCATTCTCAGGTCTGTTTTTGAGATATGGCCTTGCTATGTACTAGCCCAGGCTGAGCTCTAATTTGTAATCCTTCTGCTTAGCCTCTTGAAGCTGGGATTACAGTTGTGCACCATCACATCTGGTTATGCCATGTAGTCTCTATAACATAATCATTTATGATTTTGTTTCTTTAAAATGTTCTCTTTCAAGCCAGATATGCACTCAGGAGACTGAGGCAGGAGGGTCACTTCAAGGCCTGCCTGGACTACATAGTGAGTTGAAGGCAACCTGAACTGCATAGTGAGACTGTCTCAAAAAAAAAAAAAAGACAAAGTTATATTTCAATTATATGGTTACAGTACAAAATTCAAAAGGAGAGATGATTTTTCATTGATATGTAATTTTCCTTTACAGACCATGAAAGAATCTTGCCCTAGGCTGGACACTGTAGCTGATAAAGCCTTAGAGGCAGAACCAAGGGGCTCCATCTTCCCCGCCCCTAAGATTTACCAGTGACTCTATCTTCCCCACCCCTAGGAATTTGCCTCTGGCGAGAAATGAATACCAATGGGCTACCTGCTCATCCCTAATGCCCCTCAGGCTCCACCCCAAACCTAAGCTACATGTATGCCCCTACTTCATGTGTCCAACAGAGAGATGCCAACCCCGGGGACTAAGCCGGCCCCGGAGGGTCAGGGGATCTCTCCCCGCATTCTTAAAATAAAGGACATTTATATTTCATATTTCTTATCTTTTCAGCCGCACCACAATTCTATCAGACTATACTTTATCTATCACCCAAAAATGAATATTTAGGTTGTTTTTAATTTGTTCATGGGTTTTTGAAATGGCTTACAGAGAAGGTGAGAGAAAAATAGAGATGAGGAGAGAAAGGCAAAGGCAGAGGCAGAGACAGAGACAGAGACAGAGACAAAGACAGAGAAAAGGTCTACTTCAGGACATAGTGCTATTTTCCATTGTACTTAGCAGTATCACTTCGGTTTCCCAGAACATCACCAAGAACAGCCTCCCCTAGAACCCCGGGTGGCTGCGGAGCACTGAATTCCCAGCGCCCCTTCCAGCTTGAAGAATACCACTCCTTTCCACAACCTCATAAAAATTATGGGGATTTGTGTTTCTGAGAAAGAAATGAGACAGGAGATTTGGGTCTGCAAAGCTGGCTGAAGAAGCCATGACCTGTTGATTACAAGACCCTGGAAAGGAACAGCCCCCAAAGTCACAAGAACTCAAGCAGGTTTCCAATCGGATGGGCTGGACCTGACATCAGCCTGAGTGGGACCCCAGCACTGCCTCTCAGGACCCGTGTGTAGAGTTCTTGTGAGTTTCCTCAAGGTTTGAATGGTGAAGAGAAACAGGTGCCGTGAAGAGTTTGCTGTTGTGGCTTTCCTCGTGAGCTCATGCTGTGTACTTTTTATCTTGATTTTTTTGGAAAAGCCAGTTTCTCCCTTACTCTTCACTTTTACTCTTTCATATAAACTTTATCACAAAAAAGTACTCTCCCCTTTAGAACCGGTGCTGTTTGAGTCTGGCTGAAGCCCTAGTCCTCAGGAACTGCTGGAGAGTGAGGCAGAAAGCCCAGTTTAAAACAGTCACCCTTTGCTGAGGTCTAGATGTGCAGCTGCTGCCAGTAGCAGGAACACAGCCAAATGCCACACTTGGAGATAGACCAGAAGAAGGGCCAGTGGGCACGGCACCAGCCATCCCTCCCCGGAGTCTGCAGGCCAGTGGCCACTCCTCTCCAGCTCCTCGTGTAAGTCAAGGTCCAAGAGGGTGAGCAGCTGGAGATAAGTCAGGACTGAAAAAGGGCAAGGCATTAGAGCCAGGCTAGTCCAGGGTAACGCTGTGACATCAGAGATAAGAGTAGATCAGCAGATAAATGCATCCCCACCCTGACACCAAGAAACAGCAGCCTGAGGAACTGCCAAAGGGAATAAAATGCATCTCTCCTGAAAACTTGTCCAATTCCCTAATACTCAAGTATCTACCCAATTGGTTTTTCAAAGTCAACTGAACTTAGCAGAAGGTTGAGCTTTTCTTGACATCTAGTAATAAAGAAAGCAGAGAATGAAATTTGAGCAAGAAAGTGGTTGAGGAAGTTGGTTTCTGCTCATAGCATGCTGCTAATGTTTAACAAGAGGCTCTCGGTACATGTGGGTGTGGGTGTGGGAGTCAGACCAGTGTTACTTGCCAAAGTCCATGCCTAACAGTTCCCGCTGTGTCTGGCTTCAGGCTACCAACGTATGTCACTATATGCAGAGCTGGGCGATGGGTGCAGTAGGCCATTCCACGGTGTCTCCACCACACAGGGACAGTGCCTACAAAACACTGCAAGATAACAGCTAACAGAAAAATGCTGCTAAATAATTAGAACATGATGAGTTTTAAGTACTTGTTACATTTGCATTAACATAATTTAATTACAACTGTCTATGTGTTAATTTTTACTAACAGATATTTAACTGCTGTCCTACAAAACTCCAGAAGATGTAACAATCAACTTCCATGACCAAGCACAAGCCAGCACAGCATGCCACCTGTCACCCTCCCTTGCACGGGCATGTCTTGGTCTCTACCTCACTGTGTGGCTAATAGAACAGTCTTGAGGACAGTAATAAGAATCATGCTAGGTGGTACATGCCTGTAATCCCAGCATGTTGGGAGGCCAACGCAAAAGGATTGCAAGTTCAAACCCAGCCTGGGCAATTTAGCATGTTAGTAAGATCTTGACTCAAAATAAAAACTTGAAAAAGGGCCAAGGATATAGCTTAGTGCAAAGACTCTGAGTTCAACCTTCAGTATTGACTTTTTTTTTTTTTTTTTTTTTTTTTGTCTTTTTGAGACGGGGTCTCGCTATGCAGTTCAGGCTGGCCTTGAGCTCACTTTGTGGCCCACGCTGGTCTCGAACTCGCAACGATCCTCCTGCCTCAACCTCCTGAGTGCTGGGATTACAGGCGTGAGCCACCATGCACGGCATGACATTTTTTTAAATAAAAAAGAATGAAGTGGATTTGAAAGACATGTGAACCATTCCCTCATTTCCCCAGTTCTCTGCGATCCTGCCTTAAATTTTGTTTTAATGATGAAATATGGCAGATATGCAAATAAAAACAGGTACAGATAACGATACAATATAGAATGAGAATTCTAGAACTACGCAGCTTGACAAGAAAAAACCATACATTTATTTAAATCTTTGGGTCTTCTATTCACACCCCATCCCTCCTCAAATGTGATGTTAGGTCTGAAAAAGGGGAAGAAGGGAAGGAAGGAAGGAAGGAGTGGAGTGGAGTGGAGTGGCCGGCGGTGGCTGCAAAGATAAGAAATATAAAATATAAGTAACCTTTATTTCGGGAATGCGGGGAGAGACCCCCCCGGCCCCGGGGCGCAGCATCTCCACCCCAGGGCCGGCGGTCTCTCTCTGGAACACACTCTCTCTTGAACACGTGGAGTGAGGCCCATAAGTAGCCTCTGTTTGGGGTGGACCCTAAGGGGTATTAGGTATGCACAGGTAGCCCATTGGCACACGTTTGGCGCCAGAGGTAGGTTACTAAGCGCAGGGGTATAGGGTTACAGGTAAATCTCTAAGGGCCGGGGGAGGCAGGAGCTCCTTAATTTGGCTGAGGCTTCTCCTGGTTAAAGTGTCTGGTCTGGGCCAGCAACTCTTTCAGTGACCCCTGTGTTAAATCTGAGGCTTACTGTTCCCACACATATCTGTTATTTTAGTGTATAATACATATATAATGCAGCACATATCTATGTGTGTGAACTACATGGATACAGTTGCCTTTCTGTATCCATGGGCTTGGTTTTATAACCATGGATTAAAGCAATTACACAATGAAAATACTTTTAAACTGCATCTGTACTGAACTTGTGTAATGGTTGTTGTATTTGGTTAACTTAAGAAGTTAAGAAGCTTAACTAAGTAATTCAGTACCTTTACATCCTGCAGTGTAGAGGACATGCCTTAGACTGGCTGTTTACTGTTCGGGATGTTGTAATGGTTGATTCATTGTGTCAACCTGAGAACTTAGTGACTCAGCAGGGGGCCAGTGTCCTCATCCTGTAAACATCCTGAGCCTGGGCAAGGGGGAGGGCACGGGGATGGTGTGGGTGTAAAGGACCCACCCTAGGGCAGGTAACCTGAATACAATATAAGGGAGGAAAAGAGGCTTGCTCTCCTCATTTTTTGCTCTTGCTGCTTTTGCTGTCTTGTGTCATAAACTGTTGTCCCTGTGCCACGCTGCCCTTGGAGTCTGGCGGTTGTGGACTGAAACCTCCACCAACTATGAGCTAAATAAACCTTTCTTTCCTTGATTTTGGGTGTCAGGTATACTGTCTCAGCAACAAAAGGAAAGTAACTAAGACAATTAATATGGGACCTTTTTCTTGTCTTTATTCTCTAAACAATCTAGTATAACAACTATCAATACAGTTTTTATATTGTATCATCATAAGTAATCTGGAGATGATTTAAAGATAGGGGAGAATGTGTGCAGGTTATACATGTAAATCCTATGACATTTTACATAAAAGAGTTGAGCATCATTAGATTTTGGGATTTTGTAGCCTCAGATGATTTTGAAATCAGCCACTGTGAATCGCAAGCAATGACCACACACACACACACACACACACACACACACAGACACACATACACACGCACGCACACACAATTTTACATGGTATGATTTCTTTTAACAAATAGGAAAATATCTCAGAGTCCAACTTGCTTATATAAAAAATATCTTTTATTAATTTTTAAAAAGGTTTCTGATCCTGAAGAAAAGCATTCATGTAAAACAAGCTTGGGGGAGAAATCAGCCCTTTTTTATTTCTACCCTAAGGGAGTTTAGAGAGGGTGAGTGCCTGATTGTCCACTTTAGGTCTGAAAAAAATGCCAGTGAGGCAGAACCAGTCTTTTTTAAGACTTCCAGATGATTCCACGTTTACTGTTTCCCTATGAATGCCATCATTAGCAGACCAGTATGTCACCAAAGATACCATCTTCTGGCTTTTCATGGTCATTCTTTATAAATGTCACTGTGAAGACATTCATTGAGTCCTTCCTTTACTAACATGTCCACGAGATAAGAATCTATTTCTATTTTATCGTTTTTTAAAAATGACAAATATTGACAAACATCAAGGCTGGAAGATGTTATTTACAAAGGTTGTTGTAAGGTAAAAATCACAAGATGGAGATTTGTGATTCTTTATTGAACTTGATTATAAAAGTTTTTATCGAGCACTGTCAAACTCATGAGCTGGGGAGAGATTTCAGATTTATAACTTAGTCCTAAATGGGCAACAGCAGATATAAAATCTTGGAATTTAATATCAGCTTTGAAAATGTTAGATTGAGAGTTCGCGCAGTTTTTGCTTTATGAACGAGCACATTGTAGAATGGAAGGGCTGTATCGATTTCTGATGGAAAAGGCTGTCTCTAAAATGAATTTGAGCCTTTTCATATCCCATTTCATTCTAAGGCACATTTTAAGTGATGTCCTCTTCATTTCCATTTAGTGCTTGTGACTTAATTGGTGAGCAAGCAAACAGCTTTACGGAGAAAGACCACTCCCTGGGAGCCTGTCGGGGTCACTGCAGGGTGCAGAACAGAACTAAGGAAACCCACTAAATGACAAGAGGTTCCCGTGGAGAGATTTTTGCCCTGATGTCTTCAAAGCAGATTCAAAGCCCTTTCTTGGGGCTGATTTTGCAATGAAGTACAGCAGGAAGGGTGGCCTTAGTACACTCTAATTTTTTCATCAACTGTTCCCAATTGGAGAGGCCGCCTCATGACCTCACTTGCCTTCCTGGGAACACAGAGGTCTCGATCCAAAGTCTTGGGGGCGAGCAAAGAAGCATGCGGTCTGGGAAAGCGCTTAGTCATGCGGAAACCCTCTTTGGCAGTCGTCTACAGGTCACGGTATTACAGGCAGCTAAGTTAGGTAGAAATTAATAGAGAGTCAGACCGGGCTAGGCTTTCAAGGGAGTCAGTGCAGATGAGAACACATCCCACTTGTGGCAAAGCCACATCCGTTGAAGGCCTGGTCTCAAGATACAGATGCAGTAACCGGGTTTAGATAACTGCCTGAAGGATGAACAATAACTTGAGATTGTACTGTGACTGCTATCACCTGGCCCAATAAAGTCCAGAGAGACATCAGTCACCCAGGTGGGTGACCAGAACATCTGGGGCCCAGTCACCCAGGTGAGTGATCAGGTCCCATTCCTTCCCCACAATGCCTTTGTTCTTTCCAGGGACTCTTGCTACATGACACACTTCCTTATTTGATCAATATTATCTTAGTGACTATACTTACAATGCTATAGGTCGATTATAGCTTGACCCACTTTGAACCCACATTGAGACTTTGCTGCATAAATTACCCTAACAAAGGGCCTCAGTGGAGGGCCCACTTTCAGGACTCCTCCTGTCTCTCAGGAGCGCTCTCTCTCTCTCTCTCTCTCTCTCTCTCTCTCAATAGGTCTTGCATTGTTTTATAGCCTGCATTGTTTCTTGGAATTATGTTCAATTTTGGGGAGACACGAACTTGGGGTATCTGACATCCAGCAGGTCAGGAGTTCTATTTCTCCTATATCAGTGGGACAGATGGCCAGGGAAAAACCTGTACTTTCTAGTCCTTTGGTGTTTGTGCTGACCCCAAATTGGTGACCAAAAACATTACCCTCACACGGTCTTCAGGTAGCCACTGTCTTCTATGATCAAAGGGTTTGGAAAGGAGCCACTATCCCAAAATATCTTTCATATTATTTCCTAGGATTATCATTATAGATTATCATAAATTTAGTGGCCGAAAACAATACAAATTTATTCTGGAGATTAGAAGTCCAAAATGAGGTCTTAAGGGGCTAAAATCAAAAGCTACGTTCCCGTCGGAGGCTCTAGAGCAGAACAGTTTCCTTGGCTTTTCTGACTCCAAGTCCCTCTACTTCCTTGGTTTTTTTGTTCTCTGGCCTCTGTCTTCAAGTGCATCATGTCAGTTTTGGCTTCTGTCATCTCCCCTCTCTCCTGACCTTCCTGTCTTGCTCTAGTAAGAATCTTAAGTCTAATGAGACAATTCAGGAAAAATCTCTACATTTCAAGATCCCTACTAATAACATCTGCAAAGTCCCTTTCCCATACAAGGCAAGAGAGTCACAGGCTCTGGGGTTTAGGATGTGGATACTTGGAGGGGGACATTATTTAATCCCCTTTGTCACCACACAATTAAACTGAAATCTTACCACTTGAGAGACACACCTTTGGATCTCACGTTTCCCATGTTCATGAGTACTTTTTCAAATGCAAGGAGTTTCCAGGTATGATGGCTCACATCTTTAATCCCAGTACTCAGGAGGCTGAGGCAAGAAGGTCGTTGTGAATTCAAAACCAACCTGTTCTACACAGTGAGACCCAGCCTCAAAACAACAACAAAAAAGAAACCAACCAAACAAAAGCATAAATAAATACATTAAACAAACAAATATATGCAAAGGGTTGAGGTGTACAGCACTTACCTAGGATGTGTAAAGTTTTGGTTCTGATCTCTAGCACCAAAAGAAAAATAAATAAATAAATCCCTCCTAATAAAGCCGATTCCAATAATTCTTTGAGACATCCTTACCTGCTCATGAGTCCGCTTTCCTGCCTTGAATTCAAGTGAGGCTGAATTAGGTTGGCTCATGAAAGCCTCATGTAGTGTCCCAGCCTGGTCCTATAAGCCATGGGAAAGTGAGGAAGATACAGTGACGGAATTACAATAATAACTTCATTACTTAACTAAGCAGAACAGAGATATTTGGAATCACCTTAAAGAGACAGAATGGCTCGGCTAGGAGAGCCCCTGAATATCCAGATTGAGAGAATTATTCTACAACGTATCAAGCAGAAGCGGGGAGAGGGGCGTGGCCAAGAGAGGAAGCCTAGAAAGAAGGGGTGCAGTCTGGAAATCCCATATGCCAGATTTCTCGTCTGCCCCTCTCTTACCAATCAGCTAAGGATTATTTTGTTCAATCTGGATAGAAATCATGGATAGGCAAAATCCCTTGCTTAAAATCCCACTCAGTGTCCTTCATTTCCTGCTTAGACCTGCTTTGAGGCCTCCTGTGTCTCAGCTTGACCCAGAAGAGAGAATGCCTAGCTCAGTGAATGCCTGCTCACTGTGTCAGGTTGCCATTCAGCCCCAGACCTGGCCTTCGCCCCCTAACGCTCCCGCAGGAGCTCTGACCACCCGTAAATACCTTGACTCCCCACACACCTCATCTCACCAGAGGAAGGCTCTGGTCAGGCTGACATTAGTTCAGCTGACTCATGTCTTACTGTGCAGCAATAGATTGGCTTTTGTGTTTGCATTTCTCCCGTTCAGCTTTGTTACTGAATTTGTGTTCCTGCATCTCGCCAAATGGGGATGTGAGAAGACTGGGTATCTGGATTAGTAAGGCTGGGATGGATCTGGAACCAGACACTGAATCACAGTGAGTGCTCCAAGGCAAATTCCGCCACGCACAGCTGTCTGGTGGCCAGGCCCCCTGGCACCTCCTGTGGTATCTGTCTCAGCACACACTTGTTTTCAGATTCCTGTGGCCTCTGATAGCCTCCAGTGGGCTAACATTTTATGATCCTCCCATAGGCCCTTATCATGATGCTGACACCTTGCAGGGATTATGAGAGCTGGCTCAGAGCAGGAGTACACAGAAATGGAAAGGGAGAGAAGGAGGAGAGATGGATGAATTTGAGGAAGAAGGAGACAGTCCACAGAGGAGCAGCAGCTTGACGTGCCACACATTTTTTACAGTTGGTCCTGGAACTCTCATCCCTCGTGCTCCTCTAGTAGATTTGGGGTCCACTCTTGGCTCTGCCGCTGCCCACCTACCTGTGAGCATGAACTTCTCTGGGTGTTGGTTCTTTCCACTGACAAGGGAACATTAAGAATCAGACTGGCTTCTAAATGTATTTCTCATATTATACTCAAGTATTTAAAAAATAAAAAGCGTGCTAGTGGCATTTTAATTGGGAAGTAGAGGTTCAGTTTAAAGTGGGCTCTTTAGATTTCAGATTAAAACACAAGAGGTTAAATGAAACATCTTCGAATCCAGCTCCTCTATTTACTGTGTGACCCTGTGCAAACAATGTAGCCTCTGCGAGGCTTTGTTTCCTTTTCTGTGAAGCAAGAATGACACCAACTACCCTGCGTAATTATGAAAATTGATTGAAACAACGTACAGGCACCCCAGGCATGAACCAGTACCCTCCGCCTCCCAGTCTCTGCATGGAGTTACATTTGAAGAATGATCATCCTCAGATGGAAGGAGGGGGAGAGAAGGAAGAGAGAGAAAGGGGATGAAAAAGGAATTAAGATCTGTTATGTGCCTGTGGCGACTCTCCAAAAGGAATATAAACTACTGAAACATGTACTAAGAAAAATAAATAACACAATGAAACAAGGCATTTATTTATTTATTTTTGTCTTTGTCTTGGTACCAGAAATTGAACTCACCATCTCGTGCTTGCCAGGCCGACACCTATGCCGCTGAGCTAAACCCTGTCTCACTATTCAGTTCAGGTTGGCTTTGAGCTCACTTTGTAGCCCGGGTTGGTCTCTAATTCTCAATGATCCTCCTGCGTCAGCCTCCCAAATGCTAGGATTACAGACGCACGCCACTTTATTTTAAAACAAGGCGTTTAGCACAGAGGCTAGTATATAGTAAATAAGGAACCCTTGCTTCTTTCTCCTATTATTGTTAGTGCTATTATTTTTAGATAGATGATCGATAAATGGATTAGATGCCCTTTCCTATCATCCCAGCCCCAATGTAAGGACTCTTTATGGAACACCTCGGGAAGCTTAAAGGTTGTGAGAGACTGGCCCACTCCATGGTTCCCATAAAGAATATGGTCGTGAGTCCAAGGCCTCCAGGTCTGGATCCACAGAAGCACATGGTCCCTTCCAGCCCGGGAGCTGTCTCAACTGTCTGGAAGCCACAAGTAATCCCAGTGTTACACTGGTCCCAGGCCCTGTCACCTGCCCTCCCCTCTATGTAGGAAGCTCAAGGTTTCTGAGGCCCTCAAGGAGCCAGCGCCCCTCCTAAGACTTAGGCCAGTCCAGGTCCCTTTGGATACCAAGGCCTTGCAGCTGCTGGCAGCACAAAATCCTTCTGCACTGGGGCCACCTGAGGGAGTTCAATTCCCATTCCAGAAACAAAGCCTGCTGAAGTGAAAGAGATGTTGATCCTGAGCCCCAGCAGAGCCTCGCCTTGTTCCCAAAGGAGTGCCAAGTCCATTAGAGCTTTTCACAGCTGACTGCTCATGTGTGCCCTGAACAGTGTGCCGGGGAGAAGGACCAGAGAACAAAACAATGAAATTGAGCAGTCCCCTCCACCCCACCCGCAGTCCTCTGTGAGGCAGACCCTCTAGGATACCCCAAAGGGGAGAGGAGTTTCATGCTTCCCCAACCCCCACCTTTTTTTATTCTTCTAAGAATGGGGATCCCATCTGGGACAGATCCAACCCAGGGCTAAAAAAAAAAAAAGAAGAAGATGGCTTCACATTCATTTCCTTTTATAACTACCAAGGGGCTTCTCTGTTGTTCTCTCTTCCTATATCATTGCTACTTTCCAAAAAACACAGATCAGAAAAAGAAACAAGGGCTAAAAACAGGCAGAGCACCACAGGATGCTGCTGATTTCACTTCTTTTTAACGAATAGTAGCTGCGAGGGACAAACTGGCTTCAAGGGATGCAGATTAGGGTCAAAGCTGGCCCCTGCCCTCCTGAAGCCCCCAGCTGTATGAGACTCTGATGTAAGCCACCAGGCCTGCATCAGGGACATGCTGTGTGGCCCGCAGGGATCACACAGGGACAAGAGCAGGACAGAAGACATCGGAAAAACAGGAGCCCTGTTAGGTGCACAGGGTTTAGGCTGTGGTTGGGGGTTTTCTTTGTTACTTGAAAGAGTTTTTGCCCGAGAATAAATTACAGGACCTTATGGCAGTAGAAGGGCAAAGCTCACTTCCTCCTGCCCCTATTATAAGTTCCTTTTTCCTTTCCCAGTGTGTGAGACTTTTATATTTTGCTCTTGTATTGCGCTGAAAAGCACTAACATTGCTGTGTGTGTGTGTGTGTGTGTTTCACTTTCTCTCCTTTCCTCTTTCTCCATTCTTTCATAACACCACCTTCACCCCTTGGGAATGGTCAAGATTGACCTGCACAACCCTCCGAACCCTTCAGCACTCCCATCCTAAGAAAAGCAGGCATCGAATGTAGCTTTCCCTATAGATGTTTCTGTCCCTAAAAGGTGCAGCATGCAATAATATATTTATATAGTTTGTTTTTTAAACTGGGCTCTTTGAAACAGCCCTAATGCCTCATACCCCTTCCATGGAGTTTACAAAAGCGTCAAATGCACTGACTTTGGAGTTGAACAGAACTGGGCTGTCTTGCCGTCTATGAGAGTAGGAGCCAATTAAACTGTTTTGGCTCTATTTACTGGTGCATAAAGTGGAGACACTAGTCCCTGCCTCCCAGGTTTGTGAGGAAGTCAAAGTGAGATGTGTACACATGCTCGGTGTGAGTCACGTCAACCACCAGTGTGAGCAGTGGTATTTCTGGCCTTCACGCTTTGGCACCCAGTGATAACACTGACAGCATACTATGCTTGGTTGTTTTTGAAGTGTCTCACATACATGTGTTTCATTTCACCACCAGCATCATAAACCTCTTGAGAACACAAGAGCGCTGTGCATCATAACAAACAGTTCATGGGACTCATTTGCTGGGCAGTGGAAAGCTTTCTGCAAAGGCACAGAGTTTCCCATTTCAGGAGAGAGCAAAGAGGGCCAGAGAATTTCCACGGCTGACATGCCGAATGTACACGTTTGCCCAGTGAATGGGGCAGAGGCAAAGACAAAGTTAATTCCAGCTGGGCTGTGACAGCCTCCTGTGACAGATGGGCAGCAGAGCTGAAGAGAACATGCTGGGTAAGTGGGGAACACTGTGCTGGGTAACAGACAGCAGGCCTGAGTGAGCCCACAAAAGAAACCTCCATGCTGTTTTCTCTGTGTCCCTGCATGAGCCTGGGAGGCTCTGCAGGTGGAAGGGAGCTACCAAATTCCACAGTGACCACCTGGGGGCCCAAGAGACCTGACCAAAGGTCAACCACTTCAGCAGTAGGAAAGGTGATAAATGCAAACCAGAGCCCACACTCTCCTCCCCCAACCTATGATGCTGAGACTGCGAGGTGCTGCTTTGATGAGAGATCCCTCCTGTTACCTGGCAGCAAGAAGACCATGGGTAAATGTTTGACAGGGATGCCTAGAGCTCTGAGAATTAGCAACCGTTAAACAGTACTGTAAGGGGAGTATCTAGAGCAGGCCACGCTCTTCCTTTCACTAGTGAGGGAAACTGCAGTGCAGAGAAGTCCTGTGAGCTGGTGCAGATCACTCAGGGGCTGAAGAAACTGGAGCTGATAGCTCAGCTCCCTCAAGCCTTGGTTCACCATGCAGTCTTTAGGCAAAGCTACCTGCACCTCTGCAACCAGCAAGTGAAGACCAGCTGCAGACAGATCTTCAACCCACCTGCAGGGACTTCAGCGTGGTGCTTCCTCTTCCCGAGTTCTCTTCCCACCTGGTTAACGTGTGACTGCCTTGGCCTCCCCTCCTGCCCTCTGATCCTAAGTACATATCTTTCAAAGCTGCAGAGACCTAAGTAATGAGCTACTATACCTCCCTTGACAGAGAAGAAGCTGCTGTCAGCTGGTATGGTAGTGCTGACCTGCAATCCCAGCTACTTCGGAGGCTGAGACAAGAAGATTCCAAGATCTGCCTGGATACCATAACAAGACCCTGTCTCAAAATAAAATTAAAATATCTGGGGATGCAGCTCAGTAGTGCCTACTATGTAGGAGGCCTTGAGTTCAATCCCCAGTACAGCCAAAGGAAGATAAACTTTCATTATCATCGTCAAATATTATTAGTCACCCACTACAAATGATGGCTCCTAAACTGGACACTTAGAAAAGGCTGGCTGCTCTGTCCTTGTCAAAGCCTCCTGCGAGCCACCCACAGCCAGGGACAAGAAGGAAATAAAGGCTTAGTGCTGGCCTGGAGCTGAGTCATAAGACTCAGGAAGTCTGAGGAAGATGACTAGAGTCAGCTTCTCAGCAAACAGCTCACAGGAGCTAAAGAAGCCCCTCCTGACCCTCCAGTGACAGAGCCTCAGGCCAGCCTTAAAGTGGCATTTTAGCGCTAATTTTTAAAAAAAACCAGCATCATTGCCAATCCTCTGTGTTCTAACTTTTGTTTTTAGACTATGTGCTCTGTGCGGTCAGGTGATTACAACAGAGGGCAGCACTTTGTAAAATAAACAGATGAAGAGCTGCAGTGCTCCCCACAGGATGTACAGGGGGAGGCCAGGTGAAGTAGGGAGAGCCCCAGAGAAAAGTCTTCCAGGGCTTAGGGGGTGCCGGCCCTCATTCTTGCCAGGGCCCCGCTTTCCCTGTTCCATCTCAATGTTAGCTCTGGGCTTCCAAGCACCAGCAGGACCCAGACAACTGGAAGCCAGGGCTGGCAGGGTCATCTGGAAACATCTGTACACTTTGCTGCTGCCTGCCCAGCCAGGGAGAAAAGACAAAATGCCACGTCCTGTGTGGAGTTTTAGGGAATTCAGCCCCCGTAATCAGGAGGAAAGAAGTAGAATGGAAAAGACAAATCTAGCACTACATCTTCCCAGTCCACTTGAAAGGCCAAAAGGTCAACTGGCAGTTGGCAATGAGTATCAGCGTATTCACTAAGAGGGCAAACTCACCCATAAACTCCAAGAGCAGGGAATACCGTCAACTCTTTTAATGAGACCAGCACTTCTCTGATACCAAGGCCAAACAAAGACACCAAAGGAAAGAAAAATATGGGCCAATATTCTTGCTGATGCAAAAACCTTTCACTGAATTGCTAGCAAGTTAAATTCAATAACACGTTACAAGTATCACTTACCACGTTCCAGTGAAATTTATTCCCAGGATGCAGGGACGCTTCCGCATAATCATTGGGATACACCGTATTAACCAAAGCCAGAGGATCATCTAATAGATGCAGAAAAAAAATTTGACAAAATTCAAACTCCTTTCATAGGAAACATACTCAACAAATTTGTGACGGAAAGAATGTGCCTCAACACAAGAAAAGCCATGGAATGAATCCACAGCTGACCTCTTACTCAACAGTAGAGAAGTAAAAGCCTTTTCTCTGAGATCCAGAACAAGACAAGGAGGCTTGCTGTGTATTCCACACAGCACCGGAAGTCCTAGTCGGAGCATTCAGACAACTGAAAGAAACAAGACATCCAAACAGGAAAGGAAGAGATTAAATCATTGCTGTTTGCCAGTGGTGGTCTATAGAGAAAAGGCTGAAAAGCCCACCCGCCCCTGCTACTGATAAATGAATACAGCAAAGTTGCAGGATACAGAATCAATATACAAACCATTGTGGTTTGGTGACTAAGAAGGCCAAGGGGTCACTGTGCCACTTACGGTGAATGGCTTCACTTTTCTCAGTTTTGCTTACTTAATCTTCTTAGTTAAATTATGACATAATAATACCTCCTCATATGAATACTGGGCAAAGCAAAAGGAGAGGGATAATAACACAAGCTTACTTAGCCCCAGCCATGAACATGGCAAACACTGCATATTATTGTTATTGCTGTGGATTTAGTGCACTACTGAGCAATCACGAAAGAGGCAAAACACCTGAAATACAGTCAGCCTTTGGTATCCATGGATTCCTCCTCTGCAGATCCAACCAAGCAGGGAAAATACTAAGAGGAAAAATTAATATGTACATATTTGCTTCATGTCATTAAAAAATACTATATAACAACTAGTTTCATAGCATTTGCACTGTATTAGGTAAAAGTAATCTAGAGACTTTAAATATACAGAAGGATGTGCACAGGCTATAGGTAAACCTACACCATTTTATCTGAAGGACTTAGGCATCTAAGAATTTGGGTATCCACAGGGGGTCCTGGATCCCATTCCCAGCATAGATGGAAGGAGGGCTATAGTCATTGTCACTGAGGCACGTGTTTGCCAAAATCCCACCCTACCTCTTCTGCCCCCTCAAATCTGATGCACCCCAAAAAGCTTCTTTGTGTAGTAAAGAGTGTGGACTTGGGGTTGGTGGTATAACTCAGTATCTAGAATGCATGAGGCCTGAGGCTCAATCCCAGCCTTGTAGCACTGCAAGAGCAAGGACAGAAGAAAGGGAAGGAGGGAAAGAGTGTGGAAGAGAGGGAGGGGAGGAGAGAGGTAGGGAATAAGAGAGGGAGGAAGAGTGAACCTGGATTTGTGTCTCAACTCTGCTGCTCCCCAGCCCTGGGCCTGTGCCTACTTCTCCCAAAGTGTCTGAGCCTCCGTTTCCTCTTCTGCAAGACAGAAATAGTAATACAGACTACTTCAAAAGGCTGTGATGAAGTGAAAATGTGACTGTGTGACTTTCCTTCAGAAGCCCTAGTTGGAGATGTAGCAGAGCACTGGCCTAGCATGGGTCCATTTTCAGCACTGCAAAACAAACAAGATGTAAAGTGGCCATGTGTGGTGGGCAAGTGCCAGTAACCCTAACTCTCTGGGAGGTAGCTGAGGTAGGAGGATCAAAAATTCAAGTCCAGCCTGGGTAACTTAGTGATGTAGTGAGACCCGTCTCAAAAGGAAAAGCTCGCTCCAATCTTAGAGATCTCACTCGAGCTCCACCTTCCTCCAGCTCAAACTGTCTTAAGAGAGAAAGAAAAGAATGAGAAATCCATGAGTAAATTCTGGAGTAGCTGGATACAGATTTCCAAAAGGTGATCTCAAAAAATCTGATTCTGTCTTCCTCCCCCCACCTCTGATTTCAGTGTTGACTTTCTCCCAGGCAGACTCTCTGTGAGGTGGCACAGGTGGCTGCAAGCAGCTCTCAGCAGGTGACCTCTCCACTTAGCAACTCAAATAGAAACAGTCCTCCCTGCCCCCTGAGTCAACAGTTCCAACAAAAGTCTCTAGTCCTGTGCTCAGTCCTGTGCCTGCCTGTGGGTGGCTTTTTCCTTCAAGGCCTGGAGAATGGACTGTGCCACCTGCCATGCCTGGGTCAGGTGCCCCCGCTTGGCATGTCCAACAACAAGCACAGAATGGGGGGAGGTGGTCCCCAAGCTTGTGTTTCCAATAGACAAGAAAAAGGGATGTGAGATGACAGACATCCTCGGGACTCTTGTGTTCAGGATGCCCAGAGAGCCAGGCCTGGTGGTGCACGCCAGTAATCCAGTACTCAGGGTGGTGAGGCAAGAAGATTGTTGTGAGTTAGAAACCAGCCTGGGCTACAAAGTAAGCTCAAGGCCAGCCCTGAGCTGTCTGTCTCAAAAACACCAAGAAAGAAAGGAAAAAAAGAAAAGAAAAAGAGAGAAAAGAAAGTCCAGAGAACAACCAGCACTTTGCATCCCTAGGAACACTGTGACCCTTTCAGAGGAATGCAGGCCTTGTAGCATTTTAGGAAGGGAAGTCTGCTTCCGCTGAAAAATCTGTGAATGATAAAGGGAACAGAACCCTACTTCATTAAAGTAACAGCATGGCTAGCTGGTTGGTTGGTTGGTTGATTTGTTAATTTGTGGTGCTGGGGGTTGAATCCAGGCCTTGCCTGGCAAGAGGATGCTTAACAAATAATACCTGATGGTAGAGTCCAGACAAGGCCTCTCCCTCTATAACACCACAATCTTGCCTGACTCCTCTGATCCTTTTACCACTTAAGAATCTGCATGAGCCTTGCTTCCTTGCTCTGGACAGAGGTGGTGTTGTCAGTTCTGTGCATAGACAGCAAATGCTGAGTGGGGGCTCCAAGAAACCACAGATATTTTGATATAAGTCACATTTTTCAGCCTATTTCAATTCTTCACCCTGAGGCCTGACAGATCCCTCCATCCCATCTCTACTTTTATCTCCTAAATAACACTTCTCTCGCTGTGTCAGCATTGCAAAAGTCTGCACACACTAATTCAGGAAACTCAGACAAGAGCATGGATTCCACATATCCACTGCCCGGTTGCATATGTTCACGTCCTTTTCCATGCAGCTTTGAGTGCTGCCTGTAAGACTTTTTGTAGTAGCATTGGGTCTTGTAATATGTATTAGGACTATCCGTCAGTGGCCACAAATACCATTTTATGGCATTAATTTTAAGAAATTCAAATTGTTTTTTTCACTGAATGGATGTACCATAAATTTCTTACCCTGGCCCCTGCTGTTGGACAACTAGATTGCTCACAGGTGTTCTTGTTATATCTTTTAAAGTAAAATAAAGCTAGGCATGGTGATGCACCCCTATAATCCCAGCGCTCTGGAAGCCTGGGGGTTACACATTCAAGCACAGCCTGGGAAACTTAGCAATTTAGCCAAGACCTGTCTCAAAAAGAAGAAGAAGAAGAAGAAGAAGAAGAAGAAGAAGAAGAAGAAGAAGAAGAAGAAGAAGAAGAAGAAGAAGAAGAAGAAGAAGAAGAAGAAGAACAAGAACAAGAAGAAGAACAAGAAGAAGAACAAGAAGAAGAACAAGAAGAACAAGAACAAGAAGAACAAGAAGAAGAAGAAGAAGAAGAAGAAGAAGAAGAAGAAGAAGAAGAAGAAGAACAAGAAGAACAAGAACAAGAAGAACAAGAAGAAGAAGAAGAAGAAGAACAAGAAGAACAAGAACAAGAAGAACAAGAACAAGAAGAACAAGAAGAAGAGAAAGAGGAAGAGGAAGAGGAAGAGGAAGAAGCTGGGGATAAAGCTCAGTGTAAAGGCCCTGGGTTCAGTTCTCAGGGTTCAGTTCCCAGTACTAGGAAAAGATAGAAAGGTATAATAGCCAAACAAGGATAGGAGATATACAGAATATACAGGAGAAAAGAGCTGGAGCCAGGAGTTTTTCTGGGCTCTGCTCCCGCCTCAGCAGAGTTTTGGTTATTTAAATGACATAAAAAGCTTTAACATCAGTATCCTGCTGCTGCTGTGTGGTGCAGTCCCTTGGCTTTCATTGTGTTTCAGTCATCTGTTACAAGATACCAAATCACTCTAACCCTCGCTGGTTTAAATCTTCTTTTGCTTACAATTCTGTGGGTCGGCAGTTTGGACAGGGCTCTGTTGGGTGGTTTTCCTATTCTGGCAGTGGTGATTGACCTGAAAAAGGGTCAGTTAGGTCTCTGATGCCCCAGTTTTTCTCCACAGGGTTTGCTCAGGGTTACTTGTCCCAGGGGAAATCTCAGTGTAGCCAGACACAACAATTACCACCAAGAAAGACCAACTTGGAAGCTGCCAGCTTTTCTAGTTGTTGGCACTTACACCATTTTCTTCCAGTGCATTCTGCCTATCAGCTAATTTCAGGGTCATTCTGAATTCAAAGAAAGAGAAAATAGACCCAGCTCTTGGTGGGAGGAGAGGCAAGGAAACTCAACCCATCCCTAACTAATTATAGTAAATGCTATAGGTGGTCAAAGGGATTATAGGGTTCTTCTGTAATCAAGACACACAGGTCGTCATGGTATCACATTATGCATGGGCTCAGGGAACCAGAAGAGAGGCTTAAGATCACATATAATCAATAACTTTGCCCAGCTCCAAGCAATACACTCAGAGAGGACACTACCATGGGGAATGTGGGAAATGGGATTCCTGGTAGAACTTACAGCACTGAATACCACAGTGATTATCATCTGGCCATCACCTGCATTTCTGGAGAGAAGTGCCAGGACTCAGACCTCTCTGCCTGACTCCTCCCTCTGACGCAGAGGTCAGTATGGTAGGCGCCCACAAGGCATCTGCTTCTCCTTAAATGCAGTCGTTCTTTCTCAAGTCTGTGGGATATGAGCTTTGAGATCTCTGTGGGAACATCTCAGCTAATGTTACAAATATTGGGTCTGAAGTGCTTCTTCAGACTGAAAAGAAAAGAATGCATAGGTTGCCCAGGAAATAGTGCATTTTCCCTATAGACTTCATGATACATTTCTATAAGGGGACCTCCAAAAAATTAAAATCTCTTTCTCCTCATTGAGTCCTGGATGTCTGGATGAACCAGGCCAGAGGGG